GATGAGAATCTTCCTTTATTTGGCAAATCCTCGACATTTCACAAATAACATAATCAAGAATCACATCCAATTCAACATTGCTAAAATTAGAAATACATAAACATCCATTTTCACATATGCCATTTCAAGGATAAATAAATAAGATAAAATCAAAATTTTATTTTATGGCGGAAAAATTTGTCCTTACAATGCAATTCTACTGAAAACTATGTTATTACAGATTTCTTAGCAATCTTTCCTAACTCTAAAGTAGCAGCTCAAAAATCCGATCCTCGAATCCATGCGATCGAAATTCATTTCTTCATGATCAGATTCTGCACGCTTCTTCCTTAAGCTTCCTCTCTTTTCTTCGATCCTGCAAAAACATCAAAATGTAATCTTATCACATCATGTATTAAGAATCAACGAACAGGAACTTATAGAGTTAGTTAATAGATTTTACCTGAAGTAGAGCCATACGTCTTAACTCTCCCATCTCTCAGATCTCTCAGGTAAACAGGGCAGCTTCGTCTCTAATGCCCCTTCTCTTGGCAGTAGAAGCAGATGGACTCTTTTGGAATGGCACAAGGAACTATCTCAGAATTTACCTTTTCTGGATTTCCAATGTCACCATTTTCAATGTCCATTAAAGTTTGGGAGTTTGATTTGCCAGACAAATTTGCTTGATCAGCACGCCAAATCATTTCTGATTCAGCAGCTATAAGCAAATAGGTCAAATCAATGAGGGTCACGTCATGGTCCATCATATAGTACTCTCTAACGAACTCACTAATGATTCAGGAAGTGACTGAAGAACCCATTCAACAGCCAACATTTCTGAGATATCGACACCCATCATCCTTAACCTATAAATGTGTGACTTCATCTCTAAGATGTGTGCACACACAGGTTTCCCATCTTCGTGTTTACTTGCCAATAGGGCTTGAGTGAGCTTGAACTTTTCAAGCCTTTGAACTTGTGGGTTAGGGAGAATAATTGGAGGAGGTGGAGGAAGTGAAGCATGACTCTCATTTCCTTGATCGTATCGTGGAACGTCATCTTCATTTGGAAAGCTTGTTCCAAGGGACTTGGGAAGACCATTGTAAGATTTAGACATCTACAAAACGGGGAGAAAATTCAAGTTAGTTGATAAGAATCCTTGATGTAACACCCAAATGAAAACATCAAGGCTAGGATCCAACACAACATTCTACAACCTAGAAGAGGGATGCCGTAATCTAGTTGCAGAATATTTGAAGGTAGGTAAATGACGATTTACCAATTTCCACCATGAAAAACGAAAAAGACTTTTAAGTTTTAAATGAATTGAAACTCCTAGATCTTTTGAGATTCATTGAACTTTTCAATGGCATGTTTAATCTCGATTATGCCCTTCAAGTTTGCGACTGGGATGCCGAGGATCACAAACAAGGTGTGAATAACCATACGAATCACGTGGTGCACCCAATTGCTACTATCACCTAATCAATGTGCCGGTTAGCCACACACGCTCCATTGATCTATGATAAACATCGAGCCACCCTTCAACACCAATGTCAATCCCAAATTAGTGTGCCGGTTAGCCACACACGCTCCACTAACGTTTGACAAGGGTACGAAGTGTAATCCATGGATTAGCATACAATTCACATTTTGCCCTAAAAGTAACTAAGATTGGGAATTTGTAAAAGCATTTAGTTACTTTGTACTTCATTATACTTATAATGGAAGGTTTCGTCCTATCCTACCCGTTCGGCTAACGACCCTCCACTAGTCAAGAGTGCGGTGGGTAAGAGTGGATACCCATTCAATCGCCATTTTATAGACAATTTCCTTAAACACCCCTTATAGACCAGCTTCGTGAATGAGGCCTACTAACGGTAAGACTGACTCTTTACTCATATATATAATATTAGACTTTTAATGTTACATATATATAGTATAGGGTGTATATTACACTTTTAAAATACTAGGTGGTTTTATTAACCTTCTCTTTTAATTAAACTTTTAATTAAACTTTTAATTAACTTAACAAAACCATGAGGGTGTAATTTGAACTTCTCAAAATACTAGAGTTTTAGAATTTAAATATTACATAATTAAACTATTAATCAAAATTTTAAACTCCAAAACTTGAGGGCAAGTTTTGAAAAATTTCAAAACATTAGGTTTTAGAATTTAAATATATCAACATTAAACTTTTAATCATGAATTTAAATTCCAAAACTTGAGGGCAAGTTCTGAAACTATTCAAAACATTAGGGTTTAACTATTTAAATTTCAAAAACAAAACTTTTAAGTTCAAATTTAAACTATAAAAACCTAAAGGGAGTAATTTGAAACTATTCAAACTTACTAGGGATCAAATAACAAATAATATAAATCAAACAATTAATTTAGTGATTATCTATATTTGACCTAATCCAATTTCTTGCAAGATAAGTTACCCAATTAATACAAATAATCAATTTTAATCATATAAGGAATTTATTATCTAATCAATTGGTAATTATCTTGTGTTTTGGCAAGGATAATCTTTCAATAACAATAAAATTCGATTTTATCAGTTAAAACATATAAGGCAATTATTCTTCATCAAAACAGCAAGAAATCCCGAGATATCCTCTGTCTGAGTCCCAAACTCGCCGATCAGTAGCAATCTGAACTCGCCGAGTAGGGCCAACTCGCCGAGTCCAGATACTGACTCGCCGAGTTGGTACGGGCAGAGGCAAGAAAATCGTTTTTCAGCAAGAATTCGACAATTGCATCACATACAACAGAAACCAATCAAGGCTCTGATACCACTGATGGTTTTTAAGCATAAGAACAATCCTATGTGCTCATACAAACCCTAATGCTTGGATCTAGGTTTTTCTATTGTACATGCAATGAATCCAAGACTTACAAACCCTAGATCTATCAAATAAGAACTGAAATAAGGGTTTAGTAATTACCTTTGATTGTTATATAGCAATAACAATCAATCCTTGCTTTGATTAGCTTCAGAAAGCTTAGTGCCTCAAGTGTTGCACCTCTAATGGAGTCACAAACACCACTAAGCAACTTGGATGAAGAGGGAGGAGAGAGGAGGCACCAAAAAACGGCTGGAAACCCTAGAGGAACTCTTGTCCACGTTTTTGGGGCATTGGGGTCCTATATATACATGTAAGCTATTAGGGTTTACAACTAGGAAACCCTAATCTGACTGCTTAAGCCCTAAGCAGTCCAATGGACCATTCCAGAAGGCCCTTGGACGATTTCTTTATGGTCCTCCATATAGAATTCGTCCATTGCCATCTAATGGATCCTAAGCCCAACTTTGTAACTATCTTATAATTACAATATCAGTCCCCTTAATTTAATTAATCTCTTTTAGTCACAAAATTAATTCTTAATTAATTCTTGACTAATATTAATTAAACTATATGATTCTCCTTTAATATATTATTCTTATAATATATTAATAAATCATAATTAAACCTTTCTCTCTCCTTAATTCATCCTACATATTGCTATGGTGAAGGCAACCCAAAAGGACCATGCTTATAATCGGGTCAAGTACATACCAAAATAGTTATGGACTTAGACACTAATCCAACATCATGATTGAAATTGAAACCACATAAACTATTCTTGAGGCCATAAAAGAAATTAGAGATTAAAATTGATGTTTTGGAAAACCAAAGAGACTACTTATGAAGATTTATCTTATTTTAAAGGGTTGTTGGCACTGTAGCACAACAAAATTTGGCACATTTACACATTTAGTCACTCAAGTATTTTTTGTGCCTAATGGATCATTAAAGTTGAATTTTACCTATTAATTACAAATTACATGACGTGATACAGGAACAACCGGTTACTTGAGTGACTAAATGTGTAAATTCGCCAAAGTTTGTTGTGCTACTGTGCCAAAAACACCATATGGTTTTGCAAGCCACATCAGCATGTCACCCGTAAACCGTATACAATTTCCCCCAAAACCCTTAATTAGTCTGTATTTCCTAACGTTAAGGACCAATTGAACACAAAAAATACTTGGATGACTAAATGTGTAAATTTGCTAAACTTTGTTGTGCTATAATGCCAAAAACCCTAGTTTAAATATAAATATAGTATTTAATTATATATTTACATCACATCATTAATAATTTGTGATAAACCAATTAGCTTTTAACGAATTAATAATTGTCTGTTTTAGTTCGACTACACATGTAAAATAAACCTTGAAATACAGTAAAAAATCCAATTAGTTAAGACATTGATTATACATGTGTACATGGTCTAGTTATATTTTATAATTATACCTCAAATAGACAAAAAAAAAAAAAAAAAAAAAAAAAAAAGATCGCCAAAATTTATAAAATAAACTAAACTTCCCGAACCATTTTATATAAAAATAATAATTATTATTATTAATTTAATAACCATCGATGTATTGATTGTCTTTTAATTAAAAAAATGAAAAACAAAATTATGCATAAACCAAAACCCTAGCGACCGAATCCATTCGAACAAATATTAAAACTAATTTGTTTTGATATGTTATTTAAAACCCGATCCATTTTGAGATTTTATATTTTACCTTTGACACATAATTTTCTAAAACAAAACGACGAATTTTTAGGAGCTGACATTGGGGGTCACGGGTAAGTGCTGCCAGCGCAAATGATTACGATGATCTAGCACACACCACAAAAAGTTCTCAATGGTCGGTTGAAAAAAACCTCATCATCATTGGTGACCCCACCTTTGGACGGTTCTAATCCAACAATCTCAATCGCATCTCCATACCACGTGGCACCATCCAAACAACTTGGAGGCGCTTTACAACATATATGTTGAAATTTTAAATTTGGGTCCCTACCTAAACCGGTTACCGTCTGGCAACCGACTATTTTCCTCCCTAAATCGTTGCATACTACTCTACTATATATAACTGCCACTTAAGCAAACTCCAATCCAAGCTTTCACTCCCTCACTCAAATACAAAAAATATATTACACTAAAAAGGAAAAAAAATGCCAATTTCCAGTATTGCCATTGGAACTCCGGCGGAAGCAAGCTCGCCGGACGTCCTGAAAGCCGCCCTTGCAGAGTTCATTTCGATGCTCATTTTTGTTTTTGCTGGCGAAGGCGCCGGAATGGCATTTGGTAAAACTATTGTATTTTCTATTAGTGTTAAATAATAAATGAGTTTCTCGGGTCCCATTCTGGGACCCACAAAAATATCAGAAAACATGTTTTACAGAGTTCTGATTTTATTTGCAGGAAAGTTAACTGATGGTGGTGCAGCGACACCAGCCGGTCTTATTTCCGCATCAATAGCGCATGCTTTTGCGCTGTTTGTGGCGGTGTCGGTTGGTGCTAATATTTCAGGGGGTCATGTGAACCCCGCTGTGACATTTGGATTGTTTGTTGGTGGTCACATTTCGTTTTTGAGAAGTGTTGTATATTGGATTGCACAGTGTCTCGGGTCCGTTGATGCTTGCTTGCTTTTAAAATTTGCAACCGGAGGTTTGGTAAGCAAGTGAACAAAATTTTAATCAAAACAACATAAATTGAAAAAAAAAAAGTAAATTTATTTATATTTTGTGTAGGAAACATCGGCTTTTGCATTTTCATCGGGTGTGGGAGAGTGGAATGCGGTGGTGTTTGAGATAGTGATGACTTTTGGACTAGTGTACACGGTGTACGCAACCGCGGTTGATCCTAAAAAGGGAGATTTGGGGATTATTGCACCACTAGCTATTGGGTTCATAGTTGGTGCAAACATCTTAGCCGGTGGTGCGTTCGATGGTGCGTCTATGAACCCTGCTGTGTCCTTCGGTCCAGCTGTCGTCAGCTGGACCTGGAACAGCCACTGGGTTTACTGGCTAGGCCCGTTTGTGGGTGCGGGTATAGCCGCACTTGTATATGAAATTATTTTTATCGGGTCAAATACCCATGAGCCTCTCACAGCCGTCGATTACTAAGAATCAATTGGATGGTGAAGTGATGGGTTTTAGCTTTTGAATTGTGTTGATGTTTGTTGGGTGTAATGGAAGTTGGTTGTTTTTATTTTCAAGTCTTTTTGCTATGTACTCATGTGAATAGTTTTTGTATGTTCTGAATCAAGTTTTGAATTTTATTCATTTTGTTCAATATTAACTGTCCATTCAATAAAGGACAAAATAGTCATCACGGAGTACAACCAAAATAAAACCAAACCTCAGAATGAAAATTTTACTTTAAGGAACGAAATATGCATATAAGAAAATTTTTAGTTTACCCTAATGTAAATGTGCAATTATTTAAATACTAAAAGGTACATAGTTGCATAAACATACATATATATTTATCGCCTCAATTTTCTATGGTGAGCCTTTACTTTTTCTTTTTCTGTTTCTCATTACGGGTTCGTAGTTTTGAACGTCTTTGCTTGAACAGATAAAGGTACAGTTGTAACCATAGAAATGGGTAACAGATAAGGACCACCTGGAACAAAAAAAGTTTGAAAAGTATAAAGTTTATGAGCAAATTTCCACAAAAAACAAAAAAAGAAAATGAAAAGGGCATATAGTATATACCTTAACAAATGTATAGTAGGTGAAAGGGAGGGCAGAAAAGTAATTTGCAAAAAGATTTTTCTCCATGATAACTGGGAGTGATTGGTACATAATCCACACTAAGAATAAGGAAAAATTGGGTCAGTATTTGCAATGTGTTAAAATTAGAAAACTGTTGAAGAATGTAACAAAGAAACCACTTACTTTCACCCAAAACCCCAATTGGATAAATCACTATGAAGGCTGTGTACCTAGCAAAAATGGTAAAATAGATAAATAAATAAAGAAAAATCTTTATTTTCTCAATTTAATATGAAATTGTATTTCCAAAGTGTGGGTAAAACAAGTAAATCGAACCTGAGGTAGGTAAGGAAAGAGGGACAGTTACCCAAGCAATTCAAAGCATAGAACGGGTACCTAATTATCTGATTTATGAAAAATTGGTCAAAGTACTTTCATTTAATCATAATTTTATGAAGATAATGGAAGATAATGAATATACGCAGAGGTTATAGAAAGAGAGAATTTAATTACCTCCATGCAACACCAAGCAACAAATGTAATGAAAACAGCTGGTGATTTTTGAACCTAGCTATGTGAAAACAGAAAAAACAAAATGAGCACAAAAAGGTAAGCAATTGTTGAAAATATCAAAATTCATGGTAAATTGGAGAATTGCAGACCTCAAGTAGTCTGTGTACAATTGCAATAACGAAATGTGTCCTTCCTCCCCATTGCATTAGAGGGAAGAGAAATCCACTAGGAACAATACCTTGAATACAAAAAAAAAAAATATATATAAAAAACATAAATTTTAGATATATTAAGGTTTGGGGAGTTGTGTTATCCTCTTGTATATACCCACCTAAAGCTCCATGTAACACTTCTATGAATCCAAGAGTTTGTAGCAAGCCTGTTAACAACACAATTTTGTCAAGAATGCAACATTATTGTACTTTAATGTTGTAATATAATCTCGGACAAATTATATGAAGTAGTCAACATATGATAATGATATAACCCAGAGAGTTTCAAGACAAAAGAGTTCATGTAATTATATCTACTGAATAGCCTCTTCTAATACAGTTGACTTTTTTGAACTTTTTCAGAAATCATGAAAATCAGCATTGCTGCAGATACATGATACATTTGATGCATCTCAACAATTATATGCCAAATTAACTAAAATTAAAAGTTACATTGACGATTTTAACTCCTCAATGTTTGATATAACGACTTACAAATCAGATCTCCAGCAGAAGCATACGCGCCGTTGATTGACTTCGTGGATACGAAGTCAATTACAATTCTAAACAAAGCAATTGCCCTGTAATTCTCGAAAACGCCGAACAATGTCAGAACTGTGTGTGTATGTGTGTGTTAGCAGAGGAGATAGAGGAAGATGAACAATCATACCATCCTAAAGCTTGAACGGAGTTGTAAATGAAGAGATAGAGATTCGAGAGACTCGCCATCAGAAGTGAGAAGCTTTTAAGGTTGCTGCAACTCCACCGCCGGGCGGAGTGTTAGACCGGTGGATAAGAAAGATAGCGTTGAAGTGATTTAACGAGGGTGAGCGGTTTCCTTCACCGGTGGTGTTCTCACCCGTCTCGGTAATGTGATGGTGGTTATGCCACGTCTGGACGGGGACGTTTTTTACTTTTCAACCTAAAACAGCGGTCTTATTATATTTCGAGGATAACCACCCCATAAAAATCCTTAAATTCAGCGACTGTTCAATCGGTTTTGGGCTCTAAGCAAACAAAAATTTTAGGGCCCTTTGACATTTACTATACTTAATGTTATAAACACTATCTTTTATCCGGCTGCTGCCTTGAGATTTGAGAATAGAACTAGAAGATAAATGAAAAGCTCAAATCTGAAAAACTAAAAACTCAAATGCTGAAATTCGTTTAAACGTGATTCACTCAGTGATTGTATATTCTATAAATGTAATCTGTTGTAATCAATGAAAAATGTCGATCGAATCAAAAATCACATAGCTAAAAAAATAAAAACTGAAAAGTTATAAGTATTAACCCTAATCAAGTAATCAGATGACTTCACTTCAGATAATGGAAAAATAAAAAGTGAAAAGTGAAAAAATCCCACATACCGATTCAGTGAAACCCTTGAATCATCAGAATTCAGAAAATTTTGAACAATGGATTTATCAGAACTTGTGGAGAAGCACAGAATGGAGAAGGAAGAGTGTTTCAGTGGTTCAGATGTTCAAGAATTGAAAAGAAGAAGAGCAGAACTGCTAATCAGATTCTGATAATTTTGAGCAGCCGCTGAGAAGAAGAGAACTGTGATCGTCGTTTGTAGAAGAAGAATAAACGGATTGCGAGGCGTGTGCAGCGAGCAACGATTCAATGAATATAAATTGGACTGTATTGGATATTTGGGTTAAGTTAGTGGGGGCCCTAAGCCCTACCTTTGTTTATAAACACATAAAGCCGGCCCTGCTTAAATTTAACATAAATATAGAAATATATCGATTTATCCTTTTGGTGGATTTTAGTTTTAATAATACTGGATACTTATAACCTTTTTTCAATTTAACCATTTTGTGTATTTATGGTTCATTAAAACCTTTACGTTTGACAGAAATGTTTGATTTTATCTTTTTTTTGTTCATAAAAACCCTTAAATTTGGTTTTTTTGTTCATTAAAATCTTAAATTTGGTTTTTTTGTTCATTAAACTTGTAAAACATTGCGCTTAGCCATAATTCTCACAAAGTAGTGGGGAGTTTCTTCTAAGTAACATATCTCATGTATTACTACATCAAGTTCTATAACTGATAAAAGGTCTATATCAAAGAAATATACCATAATGACTTTCCTATTAAAGTATTTCCTTCATAGTGATTTGCTTAAATACCCACCATGATGCAGTTTTATTCCAAAAGATGTCATTTTCGGCTAAAAAAACATAGTATAGTAAGAACAAAGAAATTCATGTGAACATATTATTAAACTAAAAAACGTTTAAAATTAAATTGATCAACATAAGCAAAAACAGGATCAACATTTTGGAAGGCATCACACATACCATGGATAACATTAACTTCCTCTCGTGTCCAATCATTAGTATTGTTCACAACTAAATGATGATCAAACTTATATGTAAATAAGAAGATGATGAACAGTTAAAAAGTTTTTTTTTTTGGGTGGGGGGGGGGTGGGGAAAGGTTGACATAAGCTTGATGCAATCAAAATTATTATTTGATGTTTGAGGGTGGCAATAATGGTGGGGATAAGAAGAAGTTGCAGGGCAGAGCTAATATTTTATGTAACACCTCAAAAAGTTTAAACTTTTTAAATGTTATGGTTATAAAAAGATTTGGGTATTAACCTACATCTAATAAAAACCAGCCCCACAAACACATTTACAATTAAAACTTTGGGTGTTATCATTAAGCGTCATACAAACCATAGCAATCAAATATGAATTACATCAATATCATTAATAAAGAACTTGACAACCTCCTGTCCATTCTCTATATCTTAACTTCTAACTTCCATCTATCATATTTAATCCTCAAGTATAACCTGGGATACATGACATTAAAAAGATATACATAAGACAATAATGTCTTGTGAGATACACGAGTTAGTGACCCAAAACATTTATCACATTTTCATCAAAAACATTTTAAAGCATTTCATGAAAACCATTTCATACAAACATAACATAACATATCATATCATCTCATACATAGCATACAATATCATATCATTAGATTTCTTTATTCATTTCCAAGACCGAGGTGGAAAGAAAAAACCAATCCACAAAGGTATCATAACTGGCCAAGGTGGACATAACCAAATCAACCCACCAAGGTATCATAGTTGGCCAAGGTGAACATAACCAAATTAGTCTGCCAAGGTATCATGATAGGACATCTACTTCGCGACAGGGAAGGTACCACCCCAATAGATTCCTCTAGTGCCTCTTATGAGGTATCATGGCCCGGACAATTTTCATTTTGTCTTTTTTTATTTACTTTCTTTTTAGCTTTCACATTCCCCATTATCAATACTCATATCATCATTTATAATATCATATGTTACTAGAAAGATATACTTTGAAAAGACACATTTCACATATCATAATATTTGTTCTTCCAAAACATTCTTTTACTTTAAAAAACGTTCTTACTTTCAAGACATTCTTTCAAAACATTATTTTCAAAAAACATGTAACACTTTCATTTCAAAATGTTTCGTATATTTGTTAGGTGCATAAATTTCACCTTTTCATATGTCTACATCATGTTTATTCGTAGCATTACATTGCATTTTAGTATAACTTTGCATACATTTTGCATTTTTGGGACATTTTCGAGGATCATTCTACTTTTCACCATTTTTGTAGATGTTTTAGGGACATTTGAGGATTTGGCATGCTTAGGATGTTCGAGGGAAGCTCTATGCAAAATTTCAGAAGAGTCGAAGAAAGCGAAAAAAATGGAAGTGGAGACTTATTCAGGGGATTCCACGGTCGTGGAATGCCATGCCTTTACCATTCCACGACCGTGGAATGAGGATTTCAGCATTTCAACATTTTTTCTATTCCGAGGGCGTGGAATCGCTGCCGACAGTTTTATTTGATTTTCCAACTTCCGTTTTAAAGAGTTTTCGGGGGCCATTTTGAACACAACTTCGACTAAGACTTCCCAAGGGGTGATTTTCATCAATTTTATCTTCAATTAGCACTTTGGAAACATTTAGATTTCGAATTTGTAAGTTTGTTTGAAGATTTAACTTGTTGAATTTGTGCTTTGATTTAGCCATGTCTGGCAACGGTGAGAGATGCCGCTGCAAATGGTGAGAGATGACGGCCAGAAAAACAGTGAGAGATGTTGCTGCTGTTAGATTAGTGTGAAACATCCCAAAATACGACCCAAAAATTTTGTTTTAATATTACTAAAAATCACATCATCGAATGTCATACATACTAAGAACCATAGAATGAGTAACTCAAAAGTCAAGTAACAGTGTCAAAACAAATACTGTATCAATCATATCAAAATATCTGAATAAAACTCCCATGATAAAACTGAAGTTGTGGTGTGTGCCATGCCATCATCCCGAGCTCTTCCCCTTACTTGCGGAAGTACCTGAAACCAAAAGCTGAAACTGTAAGCACAAAGCTTAGTGAGTTCCCCCAAACTACCACATACCATACAATGACATATAAGCAAATACTGGGCCCCGCCCACTGCATCGGGCCCCGCCCGACATCGGACCGAAGTCCGGAACTAGCTTGGGCCCCGCCCACTACATCGGGCCCTGCCCGGCATCGGACCGAAGTCCGGAACTAGCTTGGGCCCCGCCCACTACATCGGGCCCCGCCCGACATCGGACCGAAGTCCGGAACTAGCTTGGGCCCCGCCCACTACATCGGGCCCCGCCCGCATCGGACCGAGGTCCGGAACTAGCTTGGGCCCCGCCCGGCATCGGACCGAAGTCCGTAACTGACTGAACATAGCATCGCATAATCATAACTAGTAGCATAAACACATATACTGCATACTGCATCGGACCAAAGTCCGGAACACATAACACAAGACATGCTTGAATCACAAAGACCTCAAGCACACTGAACTACTGCATCAGACCGAAGTCCAGAACTACTGCTAACTAAACGGGCCGGCATTGTAGCCGTAGACCTGTTCCTACTGGAAGGAAACTCACCTCACACTGCTGAAGTCCCGTAGACACAATCCCCCACTACTGAAATCCCGCAGACTCAACCCCAGCTGCTGGATGACAGATTTCTGAACTGTCAACACCAAAATAACACCCAATTAATAATTGGGTCCCAACTCATAACCATAAGTCCATACTTGGGTAAAAGACTACTTTACCCCTATCTTAGCTTGACTCTAGCCCAAGGCCCAAACCAAAGGCCCAAAAGTCTAATAATGGACCAAGACCCAACTATGGCCCAATTTTCCAAATTGGGCCCAAACCTCTACATGGACTTCCCTTAAGGCCCAATTATTCAGTCCAGTCCAACATGTCTCATTCTAAGGGCCCAATATCATACAACCATCTAGGCCCAAAACTATGGCCCATCTATGGCCCAATTTTCCAAATTGGGCCCAATCCTTCATGTGGGCCTTACCCTAAAGCCCAACTAATTACTCTAGTCCATTTGATTATTCTTGGATGGCCCAACACAAAGCCCAATTGAATATTAGGGTTTTCTTACTTAGCCCATTAAGGACTTAATCCATTAAGTCCTTTACTCTACTAGATAATTGACATGGAGAAATTGGGCTTAATACACAATCCAATCTCAATGACCCAAAAGTGGGTCCAATAAGTCCAAGGCCCAAATACTTGCAATTAGGGTTTTCTAAACCCTAATTAGGGTTTTTCACCCAAACATGGCCCAAAAAGTAATCCTTAAGCCCATTAGGGTTTTGCTAGGTCAATTAGGGTTTGCTAGTGGGGCACCACCCACTACCACCTCGGGTAGTGGTGGTTAACGGCGGCACACGGCGGCAGCCACCACCTTACGGTGGTGGTTATTATTTTCATTATTCATTGCTAATTACAGATACAATGCTTGAACCCAAAAGTACACACACACACACTGACTAACATAATACACACACAGCCACCCTAGTGGTGGTCGGTGGTGGTGG